TGTGTCTATATATATATATATATATATATATATATATATATATATATATATATATATATATATTGGATTTCACCAGATATGTCGTCATGATTCAAATCAGAAAAACTCCCAGATACACTGGCTTCTTGACAAATAATACGCACGATTCCATAGGAGTATTTTATAGAAAAGCTGAGGCGTACGGCCCGATCCCATCATAATCTAGTATATAACTATAGATACATCTATTATATTGCTGAGGCGAACGGCCCGCTCCCATGAGAGTGTGGTACATAATCATGCCGAGGCGAACGGCCCGATCCCATAAGATGTGAGCATTGTCGAGGGTCGAACTGCACGAACCATAGATGTATGTATCCTGCCGAGGCGAACAGCCCGATACCATCAGAATAAGAAGCTTTGATTATAAGGAACTTTGAGGAAACCTTTTGATGAGAAAGCATAACGCAGGAGAAATTCGTAAGAGGAGTAAAATTATTCGCGGCTAATCACGAATCCCGTCGGATCTCTACAATAACGAGTCTATCGCTCAACACAAGTCTAGTCTCAAGTCATAATGTAACATAAAGGAATTTATAGGCAAGGGACTGCTCAAATAGTACAACTATAGCATGGTGTGAACCTAAGTCTACCCGAACAATAACAAGGATTTAGCTACGTATGGACTCTCGTCACCTCGTGCGTACGTAGCCCCCGCAATAAGTAGCGCATATCAAATACCTCACACTAGGGGTAGTTTCCCCTCACAGAGTTAGACAAGAGACTTACCTTGCTCTGAAGTTCCATAACCGACTCCAAACCCTCTCTAACAACTCAAACCGATGCCTGTCGCTCCAAAAACTAGTCAAACAAGGTGCAATCGAACCAAAATATACTCTAGTACCCATAATCAATCAATTTAAGCAATTTACTACTCCTTTGTTGAGTTTCTTCTAATTCTACAGCCATAGGGTAATTATATTGTTGTTGAGAAGTGATAGTACAGTAATTTGGGATATCTTGGTCGAGATTATCAGAAAAAATAGTGGCAAATAGCATTGCTTGAATTGAAGATGCTTATGGTCTTTCTGCTGGAAGTAGTATTATTAGAGGTATGATTGAGTACATACCAATAGCTTCTATAAATCAGTAACTAAAACAACCTTTGATGTTGATATCTCGTAGGGCACATGAGCAAATTAAAAATATGGAAACACATTTCTCTGCAAAGGAAGATTGACCATTTAGAACCTACACTTGACAAATAAATGAAACCTACTACGCTAGATGAAAATAAAAATATGGAAACACAATTGTGGTAGGTAAGGTTGAACAAAATTTATGAAACAAAGAAGAGTATATATACCATATTGCTTTCTTTACAATCAAGAACATTTGACAAACACTCATACTTCACACTTCACACTGACTGAACCATAATCACAAATCAATGTAAATAACACCCATAGGTAGATCACAACGATTAATGGTCAATCTACTTAGTCCATCACACAGATGAAAAGCCACGCATCCATCAGAAAGCCAAAAAATCGCAAGATTTAGACAAACTGAAGGAACTCAGAGATACCTTAGGCAGCAACATCCTCTTCTTCCTCTTCGTATTCCTCGTCATCAGCGGTTGCATCCTGGTATTGCTGGTACTCAGCCACGAGGTCATTCATGTTACTCTCAGCCTCGGTGAATTCCATCTCGTCCATTCCTTCACCGGTGTACCAATGCAAGAAAGCCTTGCGCCTAAACATTGCTGTGAACTGCTCGCTCACCCGCCTGAACATCTCCTGAATAGCCGTTGAATTTCCAATAAAGGTTGAAGCCATCTTCAGACCCTTGGGTGGGATGTCACATACACTGGATTTGACATTGTTGGGAATCCACTCGACAAAGTATGATGAATTCTTGTTTTGGACGTTAAGCATCTGCTCATCAACCTCCTTAGTACTCATCTTACCACGGAACATGGCAGAGGCAGTCAGATAACGACCATGACGAGGGTCGGCAGCACACATCATGTTCTTGGCATCCCACATTTGCTGTGTTAGTTCAGGGACTGTGAGCGCGCGATACTGCTGGGAGCCTCTAGAGGTCAGTGGAGCAAACCCAACCATAAAGAAGTGGAGACGCGGGAACGGAATAAGGTTAACAGCAAGTTTCCGTAGGTCAGAATTTAACTGTCCAGGGAACCGAAGGCAGCATGTGACACCACTCATGGTGGCAGAAATAAGATGATTAAGATCACCAACTGCGACGCCGTAGAATAAAGTTAATTCATTAAATTGAATCATTTGTTCAGCAAAAATGGTGCAAGAAAGAAATAAGCATCAAAGAAAACCAATTTTGTACAATAAGAACGCCCATCTTTAGCATCAGCGACAGTAGGCTAGTGGAAATGCAGTGGGAAAGGCCTGACGAGATCAGGGTTCAAATTCCAATAGAGAAAAAAAAACACTGGGTGTTCTTCTCATCCACAAAGCCTTAGCGGGCAGAGTTACAAGTTACATGTGCTAGTGGGATGTATCAAGCACCCAGTCCCCCCCCCCCTACCCCCAAAAAAAAAACAAGTAATTCTATTATCATGTGCTTGTTCCCAGGTGCCTTTAAATGCCAAAGTTTCCTTTGGCAGAGGGCACTAAATTCTCAAGTTCACCACAAAATTAGCGATTCACAAGTAAATACATAAGGAGTTAACCTGCAGCTATAATTATTTAATCACGTATACCTACCTTACAGAAAAAGGAGAAGTGCACCAAGTGAAGTTCACATGTTAGAAATAAGTGGTGGAAAATTTTATCTGATATGTCTAATTTCTATCTGGTTCTCAATTCTTCAGAAAAAGTAGCAGCCAACACAAGTCATCAGACTTACATGTGGGAGTTGAAAGCTTCAATGTACGGAAACAAATATCATAAAGCGCCTCATTGTCCAAAACCATGCATTCGTCTGCATTTTCTACGAGCTGATGAACGGAAAGGGTTGCATTGTATGGCTCAACAACTGTATCAGATACTTTAGGAGAAGGAAAGACCGAGAATGTCAACATCATTCGGTCAGGATACTCCTCTCTGATCTTGGAAATGAGAAGGGTACCCATACCAGATCCCGTTCCTCCACCCAAAGAATGACATACTTGGAATCCTGCACGTCAAAGTAGATATACAATAAGCAGAGAATGGATGCATTGTATATTCAACGGGTTCAACTAAGCCAGTATCTCTTACACAAACCATAGATATATATGTGAAAAATCACTAAAATACAAATAAATAATAAAAATCTGAACCCATAATTGCAAAATCTTGGGTTTAGCGGTGAGAAACATAAAAATTTGAATATCCGCCTCTAACCATTAGCACATCATGACAGACAAATTATATAAAGAAATAAACTTATAAACACCAAAAGAAGGAAAATGAGTAACCTGAAAATCAACAATAAGAATACTAGATCAAACAGAATCAAATCAACCCCATATTTCAATCCCAACTTCCTCCAAACTCAAGTCAAAACCGTTGTATTACCAAAATTCAACACGTCAAAAATGTAACAAATTTCAGATAACATATCAATGGTAACAATGAAAATTCTAACATATTTATCGATCAATCAACATACCCGAAAAACATTGGATACATCCAACAAAAACCCAAAAATTAAATTGCACAAATTACTAAATTTAACGGTTAATCCCAAATTTATTGAGGTCGGGTATATGCATCCTCAGTATTCATTTCAATCTATCTGGGGCTCGTTTTTGTTGAAACGCGTGACAATCTTATCAAATACTTTAAGCCGTTATTAAAAATCACACCGATATTTACTTAATTATATCTTCAACATTTTCATCAACCCTTCGCCTCTATCCAACCTATCAATAAAAAAAGCAGAAAAACAAAAAAAATTAAAACAACAACCTTGCAAACAATCACAATTCTCAGCCTCTTTCCGTACAACATCAAGAACAGCATCAATCAATTCAGCTCCTTCGGTATAATGTCCTTTAGCCCAATTATTACCAGCACCCGATTGACCAAAGACGAAGTTATCGGGCCGAAAGATCTGACCAAACGGGCCGGACCGTACAGAATCCATAGTACCAGGTTCAAGGTCCATAAGAACAGCGCGCGGAACATAACGGCCACCACTTGCTTCGTTATAATAAACGTTGATTCGTTCTAGCTGAAGATCGGAGTCGCCGTTGTATCTTCCTGTTTGGTCAATGCCATGTTCGTCACATATTACTTCCCAGAATTTAGCACCTATTTGGTTGCCACATTGACCACCTTGTATATGGAGGATTTCTCTCATTTCTATTGTATTGGGATTTGAGGAATTTTATGGGAATTTACGATGTTTTGTTTGTGAATGAAGAATTTGTTTTTAGCGGATTTGAATAAAGAGTGGAGAAGATGAAATTGGGTATGGTGGAGGGAGCAATAATGTGGGTGGAAATGGAATTATTGATAATTTATACTTGTCGGAACTCGAAAGTGAGTTTAATTTATTGGTAAAAAAGGAAGGGGTTTAAAAAAATTCTTTTTTTAAAAGCCATAAATTTTGAGAAATCTCTAGAAGTCCTTTTCAACTTTGTGATTATTCTTTTGCCACCTTTCTATACATTATTTCTCGGAATAAATTCCTTGGATAATAACTAGGGGTGGCCATTTGATTTATCGATTCGATTTTAACCCTTATCGATTATCGATTTGTATATGTGCTTATTGTTATCGTTTCAATAAGGTTTCGATTTTTTCGATTTCGATTTATCGATTTTTGGGGCATATTCGGTTATCGATTACACCAATAAGAAAATTTGCGGAATTCCACGGAAAGTATATCGCTATAAACACGCCTAACTAATATGGACAAAAAGAAGTTAAAATAAAACGAACACCGTTTATAACATAAAAATTGTGTCAACAAGCACATGCAACGAAATTAAAGTAAGGGATCAAATGTATGCCACAAACACTCCAACGGTATTAAGAACATGGAAAATATTTTACAAAAAATTTAAGCCAACCAAACATGAAAAAATTAAAAAATATTTTCTTTCGTACCAAACACACCGTTAATTTGTTTCAAAACCCGGAGATTTCAAACCAAAAGCGGCTTCTAAAAAACAATTCAAGTAAAAGATGTAGTGGAAGAAGGAAACTGGGAATTTAGCAACTGAATGGTCCTCTAACAACTCTCTCGCACCGGTAAATCCAGCTCCAACAAATAGTTGCAGCAAATGGCAACAGAAAAGCAACTGAAAACATCAGCAACTGGAATAATATTCAAGCTTGGAGGAATTTGAATCAGTACAGCTATTACAATGACTTAATTAAAAAAGAAAGAATCAGTATAGGTGCGAAGTCATTCTTTTCAGAAATGAAAATTTAATGGAATAAAATCACTTCACAGTTGGACTAACTGCAGAACAATTACATTTGCATATAAAAAAGGCTAAGAATTTAAAGAACCACACTGAAACAAGTATTTATTTATTACAACCTGGACCAAATTCATAATGACATTGTTGATACTGTTTGACTAACGATTAAGGCCTCACTACCGTACAATAGAGCACTAACTTATGCCTTGGCACTATAGGTTAGTATCGCCAAACAAAGTTACTACCAAGCTTTAAACCTGGAAGGAATTAAGAAAAATATTAAGAATTTTGTAATACATCGCATTCTTTTACAAGTATTGTTTAACCAAAAAATGGAATTTCGGCTAAAGCTTATTTTTAGAAGAACTCGGGTTACTGATAATCAAATAGAAATATGAATAATGGATGTAACTAAAAGTTGAATAGAAAGCGAAGTAAATCAGTATATTCCAGTAGTATTTCCTATCTTTACAAATGATCAGGTTGCCCCTTTTATAGCTATTTCTAGGTGATATGTTTTGCCTTTGTCATCATAAGGCCATTATAGACAATTAAAGGTATTTAATGCTACGTTATAAACGATAATCATTGTACTTCAATACAGATTCTCTAACGTTTTCAGTATTTAATGCCTATTAAATACTGTATCCGTTCCCACTTTTGCTGTCAGGTTCATTCTCTTATCTTGACTTTGAACATAAAGAGGTGCGGGAACCGAGTCTCTTGAATCTCTGCTCGTGTCTGTTGTATCTCGTGCCTCTTTAACTATTCTTTACTGATCGTCATCCTTTGACCAGTCTACGTGTCATGGCACGTCATCTTTCATTGAATTCAATATATATGAACTCAATTTTTACCAATACACATAGTCCCCCCACTTGCCATGTATTCATCAATAGAATATTGGGGAAGTGGATTTTATTAAAGCGGGAATATTTGCCGCCATTAGTTCCCTTCTGGAACTGACGCTTCATTTGTCACTTCTATTTAATGCCCACTACACGTGGCATCTTCTGATTGGTTCTGTGACTTTTCAGCGTTTTTTATGGCTTTTTCACGGCTTCACCAATTACGAAATGTCAGTTCTCATCATGACGTTTCCATCATTATAGCTTTTCCTTTGACGGTTGCTTCTGAGTATAAATATAGTTTTCACTTTTGTCTTCTTTACATAAAGTTCTCAAAATGTTCAATTCTTGTTTCCTTCTTCCTCGTACTATTATGTCTTCGTCAAACCCTAACCCTAGGAGAGTCCCCATTTTGATAACCTTCGTCTTGCTCCTTTTAGGGGCAGGAGAGGAGGTAGACTTCATAATCTAGAGTCTTCATCCTCACGAGGTTCTTCTCTACCTTCGTCCAGTTCCACTCCACCTTCTAGAACCAGAGGCTCCCTTTCTCAAAGGTCTTCGTCTAGAGGTAAAGAACCCTCTGAGCCTCTTCGTGAACCTACTGTAGATGAGATTGTCCCCGTTGAACTATCTTTTTATAATGATAGAGAATCTATCATAAACCAACTGTCTTCATTAGATCGTGCTGACACCTACCCAACTCAGATTACTGAAGGTCTGATTTCTTTAGTACGTAAAGACTGTCATTGGAGCCATGACTTCCCTATTATAATTCCCAATGCGAACCAAAGAATCACCTATTATTTAATTGGGTTTTCTTTTGTTTATACATACCCTTTCACGTTGGGTTTCAAACCTGCTATTGACCCTGTTATCCTCGAATTCTGTCGTTTTTTCGACGTCTGTTTAGGGCAAATTGGCCCTATTGTGTGGAGGGATGTTGCTTGTTTGAGACACTTGACCAACATGGCTGGTGTGCCTTTTACTTTCTCCCATTTAATACACCTTTACTCTCCCAAACTCTTTCGCCAAGGAGTTTTTACTTTAGTAGCAAGAAGCAAAAGAGTTTTGGTCAATCCAGAAGACGATAAGGACCGTGGCTGGTATGCCAGGTTTGTTGCTGCCCCCACTGTTGGTTTAGTGGGTGAAGAAAATGTTTCCTTTCCTGAGAAGTGAAATTTTGCACGTGAGTTTTCTTTTTAATAACCTTCACATACCTTTTTCTTATTTCTGTTGGTTATCATTTTAATTTCCTTCTCTTCTTTTTTTTAGCAACCATGGGAATTGTCGATGAAATTCTCAATTTCCGTGGTTGGGTAGGAAAATTGTTATGTGCTGCCCCGATGGAGGGTAGATCTTGGAAAACTCTCTCTCAACGATTTGGTTGGAGACTGAAAACTCACGGTAAGAGTCTTTTTTTATAACTTTTCTTATTGCTTCTTCCAGAAATTATTTTAATCCTTCTTTTTATCAGGATTTGCCATTCGAGGCATTAGTGTTGAGGCTGTCGTAGCTTCCCGAATTTCTTTGGAAAGGGCCCAAGAAATAATTTTGGGCTCTTCATCGAAAAGAAAAGCTACTGTTGATCAAGGCTCTGAGGAGGAGGAAGAACAAGACGGGGGTTCTTTGATAAAAATGCCACGGGCTAGAAGACGAATTATTTCAGATGATGAAGCATCTCCCCCTCGTTCTACTCCTCTCACCGAGCATGTTGAAGCCTCGTTGGTGATTCCTGATGATGATACCCCCGCTGCCGCCCATGATTCTGTTGAGCAGTTTTTGATCCGCGGGTTTGGTAGTGAAAGTTTAAAACCAATTTCTGATGAAGCGCCCCTTGCTTCTTTTCCTTTATCTGCTCCTACAATACCTTCTCTGCCAGTCGTGGTTGTTACCGTTGCTTCTTCTCCCCCAGCTATTTTGACTTTTTCTACTGCTCCTCCCACAGATGTTTTGACTCCTTCTACAGTTCCTCCTACAACTGTTCAAAAAACTGAGGTTGGTTCCTCAAGTAAAGGTGGAGCCATGAAACAGGTTATCATCGAGGTCCCTGCCGATGGTAATCTTTTGAGAAAATCAGGTGGGGCTGACGTGTGGTTGAAACCCCTAATCGGTCCAATCGAGAAGGCCAAGCTTGAGAGCCACAATTCTTTAACTTTGATGAACGACATAATACATTCATCATTAAAGGTATTCCTTTTTAATGATTTTTTATTCCTTTTTATAAGGCTCTTACCTTTTTTTTTTTAGATCAACCTCGTTGGTACAGAAATGATGAAAAGGGTTTCTCACACGGAGCAGTTGATGCATGAGTACCAAGTTGAAGCAGATAACTGGAGAGAGCAATATGAGAGCCTTCAAATTGACATGGAAGCGCTAGAAGAGAACAAGTGCACCTTAGAACAGCAGCTGACACTGCCACAAAATAGACTTTTAGCGGCAATTATACAATGACAATAGCATATTTGCCGCCAATTTATTATGTAAAGGCCAATGTTACCGGCAATTGATTATTTGCCGAGAATAAATACTTTTTTCCAGCAATTGACTTATAATGGCTACCAAACCTTATGCCTTTTACTAAATTCTTAACAAGTCCAAGAGCGAGATTTTTTTTTACACTCCCTCCAAATTGTTTTTTATATCCCTCCTTAATATTCATAATAATTAATTAGTCATTCTTTTATTCCTTTTTTATCCAGAACATAGAGGAATGAACAATGAATCTCCACTGAAACCCTAGCACCCAAAATTCATCTCTCTATTTCCTGTTCACTCAATTAGTCTGATACTTCATGTTCTTCCTCTTTTGATTACTAAAAGCTAACTGAAATTAGAGGTACGTTCTCATTGCAGAGAGAAATATCACAAAGGAAGGTAACAACGATTTACACAAGTTTTACTCAATATTTAAGATTACAGCAAGATGAAGAAGGAAAAAGTGACTCAATGTAGAAGTAGAATAGATCTACAAAAATTGGTTGATTCTACATACCAAACAGCTTGACAATGTCAACATTGCCGTTGACATATGCTAAAATAGGTACCGCGCTTCTTCTTCTTCGTCGACACTCGTCGGAGTATAGGAGCCTCTAAGAAGCTATTTTTCTGAAATTGAAGAAGCCAAGAGGCCTCTGAGCTCAAGGTCTGTTATTATCTCTATTTATTTTTTAATTGTTTAATTTCTTTATTTTATGTATTTTGATAAATTGCAAATATCTGTTAGAGATTTTTTTCAAACA